CCACAAGATGGCGTCATGGTGTCACTATAAGTAGAAAGATGAATAAAGATTACTTGCAATGTTGGGATTCTTGGAAGTATTTTAGCCTCCTTTTGTGGGTCCCACTCAAAGATACTTTTCTTGTCCACTTGTATTTCCTCCCATCAAAGAATTTTCTTTGTTCCTTTCTTCCACTAATTCAATGGAAGCCAAAGAAACCCAGAATTCCTTGCCAAAAAATGAATGCCTTGCATAGTTTGTCTCTAATTAATCTAACAATTTTGGATTTTCTATTGGCAAAAACAATTTTGGATTTTTTTTATTGGCTAATCATAGAGCCTCAGTCTTATGGTCACTTGATATTCACCAGAATAATCTTGACAAATACTCTTTAAAAGTGTATGAATCAAGATTTTTATCTTTTATTCTTAATTTATAATTTTTTAATCAAATAATTATACTAATAAAATAATATTTATCTAAAGTACGAGATAAAAATTCAGACTCATACACTAAAAAACAAATTCTCTCTTCTTTTTTTTTTTTTCTATTCATCAACAAGTGGATGGGATCCATTTCACATTTTTTAAACAAGTAAAAAAAAGGCAAGAGTTTGATAGATGATGATATTATGACGTCATCAGCTTGGTGCTTACACATGAACTATGGTCTTTCGATCAGCTGAAATTAAGCTATTGTTAGTTCATATGTCATTTTCATATTTTATTTTTTTGTCTATTTTTCATGTAAGAAGACGTTTATACACTAATTGCTACTCATAATTAGCCTCACAGTCCTCTTTACCTTCTCCAAAATGAAGTCTAGCAATACAAATAAGCAGGACAAATTCTTATAAAAGTAAGTACATTTATTCCAGTTAGAAATTAAAAAATACGCATATTTCCTCTTCTAACCAAAAAAAAAACAAAAAAAAAAACAAAAAACAAAACTAGAAAATACCTAGAAAAACGCTTGTTCATTCGAATTTTCTACTCTCTCTCTCTCTGTCTAATTTTTACTGAGGGTATAATTGTTTGGAACTTTGGAATTTTTATTTTATTTCCATTGCTGTTTACTTTCTCCAGTCAAGTAGAACATGACAATCCCAGAAGATGTGTTCCATTCCATGCATTTAACCAAGTGGGTCACTCCCCTTCAGAAGGACAAATACTAAAAGCTGTTCAACCATAAAAACAAACCAATAATAATAATGATAACAATAACAATAATAACAATAAAGAACTCATATACTACAAGAATAGATACTTTGCTTCAAAGCAGAAAAAAATTAATAGAAAAAAGAAAACAATAGAAATTCTTTTCCTTTCCAAGCATGCCAATGGACGTACTCAAGCCCATAACACAATGAATAACAAATAAGCCAAGAAACCACAAATAAATAAAACCCACATCCTCAAATCTCCTCTCTTGAAGTGCATTGTAAGCCAACAAAACAAAAAAAAAAAAAACAAAAACATCACAATTTTTTAACCTTTCTTTGAATTTCTTTTCAACACTGGCATAAGTGGCTATGCATATAGAAACTGAGTGAAACAGATTTAAAACAGAGGAAAACAGAGTGAAAAAAAACAGAGGAGAAACAGAGTGTTTTGCCCCCATATGCTTATGAAGAGTGGGAATTGCGGGATCTGTCAACCTGGGAAAGCCGGGAGAGTTCTTCTTGGAAGGTATCTTCGATTGCATCCATGAAATCACCGTGGCCTTATCTTTCTTTTCCGATAGGATGACTGATTCCGCTTACAAAGTCGACACGACGCCGCGACTCGCTCAATGGAGGATCGAGAATTTGGCGTCCTGCACATACCGAAAATCCGATCCTTTCAAGATTGGGAAGTGGAACTGGTAAGTAAAAAAAAAAAGTAGACTTTCTGAATCAATTTTCCATACATCTTATCTCTGTTTGTTAGTAGTGAATGGACACTCAAAACAGGACAAAGGAATCTGACCCAGGATGAAATTGAACTTTGTTTTAGTAGATGAGAAATTTGAGGACAAGAAAAAAGAAACGGATTTTGCTCTATTTTTATATCCTTCATATTTTAGAGTTGAAGAAAACCTTGACAAATTCTTTTTTAATCAATTTTCCATACATCTTATCTCTGTTTGTTAGTAGTGAATGGACACTCAAAACAGGACAAAGGAATCTGACCCAGGATGAAATTGAACTTTGTTTTAGTAGATGAGAAATTTGAGGACAAGAAAAAAGAAACAGATTTTGCTCTATTTTTATATCCTTCATATTTTAGAGTTGAAGAAAACCTTGACAAATTCTTTTTCCTCTAAATTGAAGGCATTTATCTGTGGAGAAGAATAAGGTGTTGTTTGTTAAGCTTTATCCAGAGGTATCAAATTTAACTAGGGATAATCCGCCGATCGCCTCGTTCATCGTTCGAGTCGTCTGTTCCGCCGGCGATCGGAAGTCCTTCACTCATCCAGGTAACCGAAACACTCTAGTTTTCCTTTAAAAAAAAAAAAAGAAAAGAAAAGAAAAAGAAAATCTGTGGCCGTGTTTGGTATAGGAAAAACGTAGAAGGAAAGATAAAAGTAGGAGAAATAATGGATGGGTTCCAGGACAAGAGAGATTAGGCATTGTTTGTTTAGAGTGATTAAATAAATAAATAGATTAAATGAGTGTTTCCAAAATTATGTCTAGAGGACCCAGTTTTGACCTCTCTAAAGATGGGACGATTAGCTGAGGGAATTTACACACCAAACATGACAAGAGAAAGACCCTAATTTTTCTTTCTTTTTTTTCCCATATGAATTATATATCTAATTCTGGGTCATGTTTTCTTTCCCTCTTACCAAATAATGTCTAAAGGATGCCCAACTTAGTTTCCTTTTCCCTATCACAATTTATCAACTCTTTTTTTTTTTTTTTTTTCCATTGTACCATGCAGAAATCAAAGACAAACAGCTCAAGAACAACGACGATTTCATTTGGGCAATTGACGTCCCATTAACTGGAAAATTCATTATTGACGTTGAATTTCTTGATTTAAAAATTGCATCTCCTTGTGTAAGTTCCCTTCATCTATGCTTTTTAATTTCCCAAGTGTATATCATCAAATAGATTTTTAGTAGCTGAATAGAAAAATAGTTAGAAGAATTGATAGCTCGGTTTCAATTCTTCTCGCCTAATTTAAAAATGAAAATTTTTTTTGTGATCGAATATTTTTAGGGCGGCGAACCTTGCTCCATTTGGGCTGACGGGTTCACGCAGAAACAATCAAATGTGACGGCTCTAACATCGTTGGGACGAATGTTGACCGAAGGCATCCACACTGACATCATAATCCACGCTTCCAACGGGAGCATTGGTGCGCATCGCGCTATTCTCGCGGCGAGATCTCCGGTTTTTCACAGCATGTTCTCGCATGAACTCAAAGAGAAGGAAATGTCCACTATAAATATATGTGACATGTCAATAGAGTCATGTCAAGCCTTTCTCCATTACATCTATGGAAACATCCAACATGAAGAATTCTTAGCACATAGGCTAGCCCTTCTTGGTGCCGCGGATAAGTATGACATCGGGGACCTAAAAGAAGCGTGCCACGATAGCCTTCTAGAAGACATTGACGCAAGAAATGTGCTTGATAGGCTCCAAAATGCATCTCTCTATAACTTGCCAAAACTTAAGACTAGTTGCATGAGGTACCTTGTGAAGTTCGGCAAGATATTCGATATCCGCGAAGATTTCAACGCCTTCTTGCTATCGGCGGATAGGGAGCTGATAGCGGAAATCTTCCATGAAGTATTGAGTGCATGGAAAGGTTTCTGAAACTGATCTTTGCTTGCAAAAGAAGGAAAGTATTAAAAATATGTGAAAAGCTTGTGGTATTTTTTTATATCATAGTCCATAAAGATGGATTCTCAGAAGAATTTTAGCATGAAGGATTTGTTGATCAAGAAGATGATTCTTTTGTGCATATTGGATTGATTTTTAGGTATTGATCTTGTTATTTGTAAATATATTGGTTTGTATCGCATAGATATTGTAACTTTGTCACAAAACATTACACATTCTTAAATTATGAAGATTGGATATTATTTATTTCAGATTTTTTTTTTATAAATATTTTAGTTGAAAATAATTTTATGTGTTTGTCCTTGGGGTCTAATTTATGTCATAACCAACTCAACCAACAAAGCCTTTCCATTTATTTACGTAAAGTAGATATTGGCATTTCTTTTCCTCTGCAAAACCTAGGTCAAACTGCTCTTTAAGGTTGTGCATATGAATGTGAAATCAAAATATACCAAAAGTTAGTTACACCTATAGTTGGACCTTTTGCAGAGATAGAATATGGAACAATTAAACGCTCTAAAATAGTATAATGAAAAGCTAACAATTTTGGTATTAGTTTACCAATCTATCCCAAACTCTTAAGCTATTAGGAGGTGGGTCAACAATAGTTTTATACTTTAACACTCCCCTTCACGTGTGGGCTGGACAATGGGCAATCGTATGGGTAAATTAAGTGAAAAGCCCAACATGTGAATATTTAAGCCTGAGATATATTAAAAACCCAGCACATGATAACAATTTAAATAAGGATAAAGAGTGCAATTATGAGAGTTTGAACTCAGGACCTTCCGCTCTGATACCATATTAGTTTACTAATACATCCCAAAAGCTTAAACTATTAGGAGGTGAGTCAACAATAATTTTATACTTTAACAGGAACCATAAAAAGGGGCTTCGTAGTTTCAGTCAATTTTATTCTTTAACAAATATAACAACTAATTGAAATTCATTCAATGAAATAAACTTTAACCATTGCAGTTAAATTTTTTCCTTTCTTTTTCTCTAAGTAAACCATCGAAGTAATTTTAACCATTTACTATTATTGAGGTCTAAAACCAATCTACTATATTCATCGATATTAATAGAATTCCCCATTTTAAAGTAAAAAATATAGTGATTGCTGACTTAGCCTAAAAGATAATTCAACACTCATTATCAGGTTAGAGTTTGAAACTCTTTCCGTCCAAGTTCGAATAATAATAATAAACGCAAAAAAAGGCTAAAATGTATGACTGAAAAACTGACTTGAAAATCAAATATTCCATTAACTTTCCTCCTTGTATATAAGCAAATCATATCAAGATGGATATTATGCACACAAAAAAAAAAAACGTTTCAAGAACAAGAACTATGCAAAACCTTTTTCCAGCTAGTAACTAACTCACCTTATAAGCAACGTTCCAGAGTCTCTTTTTTCAGTCTCTTTTGCTTTCCCGTTCTTTTCGCTAATTCGAATTTTATTATAGTAAAAAGCTCTCAGAAACAGTCACATCTAACTTTTTTGCTATAGTAAAAAGCTCTCACACAACATCACATCTCAACTCGAATTAAAAACTCAAATTAGCGAACCGAACGGGCCCATTGTTTTGGCATGACCTCTGACTCAAATCCCGAAAGGGGCTTTGCTAACCATAATTTTAGCATCTGAATGGAAAAGAAAAGCTTCTAAATATTTATAACAGAAAACTTCTTGGTCTAGCTATATTATATAGACAACTACAAGAGAAGAGTGAAAGAGAGAAAGACACAATGAAAGAATATGGAGGGAATATTATTAGGATCTTCTTAACAATTTTTTTTTCTCTATTTTCTAGTTATATTACAGGCCAGGGCTTAAGTTCTTAGCCCAAACGACATCTATTTTACACCAAATAAAGACCTTTTGAAGGAGTTCATTTGAGGACATTCTAAAGCCCAATATTTGATGGTCTCTATCCACTTCAAAATCAAATTGACACTCAAAGAAGAGTTTTAGAGAATATTAGAATCAGAAACGTCTTTATCTTTTCTTTTTTCTCATTTTGCATAGAAAAACAATTTAGAAAATAAAGGCTTTGAAATCAGTCTATTTCCAAACTAAAACCTTTTTGGCAGTGCAGTCAATGTCAAGCTCAAAGGTATATTGTTAACCCTTCATATTCACATGAATAAGTTTCTCCCTTTTTTCTTATAAAAAAAAAGGACATAAAACACTACTTATTTAAATATTTACTTTTTTGTCGAATAATTTAAGTATTATTGATTTAGATAATTCAATCTTTAGTCTCAACATTTGAAATGGGTCCATAACTGTAATTACTGGCGTTGTAAATTATTTGACGGGTAGTGATACAAAGTTATCCATTAAAATTTCTTGAACTGCTTATTAATATTTTTTTGAAATTAAAGCCGAGGATTTGAATTCTATATCTTTAGTGGAGCCAGGTGTCCAATAATGAACTGTTAATTTCTAATTGGTAAGATTTTTTATATAAAAGAGTTCATGAATTTAAGAAATGGCACTTGACTTGTCATATCACTCGGTACAAAGAGTACAATGGTAGAAAAAGTTTCGCACATACATTTGGACTCCTATGAGTATAATTATCCCTATAAACTAGTATATCTCATTAGATATAATCCAACTGTCGGGATCCAGTAGCTCGGGAATCGTATACGTTTGATTCATGAGTTTAAAATTATGATTCAAAATCATACTCGGTTTATGTGTATTTTTTATGAGAGAAACTATTGTAGCGAATCACAAATTATGATCCAAACTATGACAGACATCCTTACTTACTCAAACGCAGTTGAAGTGGTGTGGGCTGACACACGTAACTCTACTACTCGTTGAAGTCATATCCAACATGGCTGAAGTACTGCTTAGCGGTATTCAAAGTAGAGGATAATAGTACGACCTTTATAATTATCCCTATAAACTAGTATATCTCATTAGATATAATCCAACTGTGGGATCCAGTAGCTCGGGAATCGTATACGTTTAATTCATGAGTTTAAAATTATGATTTAAAATTATTTTCGGTTTATGTGTAATTTTTATGAAAAAAAATATTTTACGAATTACAAATTATGATCCAAACCATGACAGACATCCTTACTTACTCAAACGCAGCTGAAGTGGTGTGGGCTGACACACGTAACTCTACTACTCGTTGAAGTCATATCCAATATGGCTGAAGTACTGCTTAGCGGTATTCAAAGTAGAGGATAATAGTACGACCTCTGACGAAGATGTGGGAACAGTTAAGCTCGAATAGAACAGAAGGCAATTAAATCTTAGAACCCACTTTGTTGCCGAATATCCAAAATGTCCTTGCAAAAGATGTTAAAAAATAATAAATAAAGAACCACATAGATGAAAAATGGTGAGAGAAGTGATCAAATAGTTGATGGAATAGAAGACTCAGAGGTTGGATGAGCCTATAGTAAAAGCATAGTTTCGAAGGCAAACACAAATTATTCTGAGAGCGAATGTGCGACTTGTAAAGTTAGATAAGACTTTAATTGATCGAATATTTGATGATAAAAGGGGGGCTGCTTCGAGAGCGAAGGAGTGGCTCATAATTCTGGATAAGGCTTCGATGAAGCGGTACTCTAAAGACAGACACATGCTACTTTGAGAATGAAGGAGTGACTCAAAGCACTTCTCTGAAGGCGAGTGCAAGTTGCTTCAAGGATGAAGGTTCTAGTGCTTTCGTGAAGAAGTTGGAAGGTAACTTCAAACACTCCTATATGATCAATCAAAGAAGATCTAAGAGAGTTTTTGTGGAGTTTCTAAGGCTATCAACACATAGCAACTTGGTACCCCTCTCAAACTTGAAGAACTTCAAGTCTTTAGCGCAAAAGACTTGAGAAACTTGAAGAAAATTGCTCAAGTGTAGGCTAAAACCGGTTGCTCTGAGGGCTGATCGACAGCCCTCTGACAGAAACTTGTGCAAAAGCAACTCTTCTTAGAGAGAAACTACTAATTAACTATCGAAGTTGACAAAGAGATGACCCGAAAATAGAATGACTTGGAGGCAAAGTTCTGAATTTTGGGCTAACTTCGAGCTTCCCCAAGTATGAAAATCTCAAGAGTGCTTGACTTTAACTTCATGCTCCGTTGACTTCCTCTTTTAGAGCTTTGATCTCGTGTTAGACCTTGTCATATATGGTTTATGCGAAAATGACTAAATAATCTTTGTCTTGGGGTCTGACACTAGGTTGCTTTCGAGGAGCATGCAAGGGCTCTCTCGGAGGGAGCCTCTGAGAGGCAAGTTCGACATGAATTAAGTTTGAGGAAGATATACTTGACACATAGGGAGTCTCTTTTAGGCACACACATTTAGACGCGAAAAAAATCTATAAGAGACGTGACAGCCATGGAGGGATCCTCCGTTAGGCGTGTTTGACACAAATGAAGGAAGTTTTAGAGATACGCTTGCACAGAGGAAGCCTCAGTCAGGCATATCTGGCACGAATGGAACCTCTATTAGAGTCAAAACAATGCGTTACTATTAGAGTCAAAACAATGAGTTTAAACCTTGGCTAGTGAGAAAACTTCTAGAACACGGATTTTAGGTTTTTTGGGCTTCAAAAAAGATGAAAGAAAGGTGTTTTGGGAATATCACCTAAATATTCTTAACCTAATTTGAAACAAGTGAGATTTAAATTAATACTCAATTAAGAGATAAACGAGCCCATTTGATTACACATGGCCCACTAAAATACGACCGTATGAGTTTCTCAAGCGTGACTTAAGTCCATAAAACGAGCTCAATTAGACCACGAAATGAGATTATTGAGCCTGAGCCCTTAAACGGGCCTGGTACAAAATTGAGTATCAACAGTAGACATCACACAATATTAATAATACACTTCCTTATCTTAACCAAAAGACATTGTATAGCAACCTAACCATAACATATTAGATCAAAGTTATGACACATTTATTGCATAAAAATATTACTAATATATTTCTTTTAGCAGATATATATATATATATATATTTATCAGAATGACTCGGGAAATAATCCATCAAAAAGTTGGTGAAGGAACTTCTTTCAAATGAATAAGTTTGTTGTCTAACATATAGGAGTAATTCTTGCTAAGCCACGGAAACTCAATTACAATGACCTTAAAATAAGGAGCATTTACACCCAAATCATTGAAATCACGTTCAACACATTCCATATGAGTGTCCTTATGTATTTTTTTTTTTGGGCAAGAATGATGTGATTATTTTTGGGATAAAAATTTCCCATCATTA